ACTCATAATCAATTAATGTCACTTTATTTAATAATAAGCAAATAAAATAAATCCAAATTGCCAACTACAAATCTAATGCAATACAACATCAAATGTTACAAAATTCAAATGGGCATTACCTCGTGAGAACAAATCTAATTCATATTTGCAAAATTATTGCATTTCTCCATTAAGGTTGCAATATTTTTTTTTATGATCTTTTCTTATGAACTAATTTTAATTATTGCCCTGTGAAGTCTTTATGTTGATTTTATAACTAATTTAAAACCTTGGCCAATTAATTTTTTTTTAAAGTCTATATATTGATTTTATAATTAATTTTAAATTTTAGCCAATTATAGATTTTTATGGATAATACCAATTTTTTATATAAGAAAATAATTATAAAATAGATATAAATATATAATGATATGCTTAAGTATTATTATAAGCTATTTTTGAATGAATTCTATTTCAATCTTCAATTGAGTTAATGATATTATGTTTATTTTTTTGATGATTTTCAAAATATCAAAATATTATAATTTATAAATTATTTTTTGAATTTATGGTATTTTTTGAGATTTAATTTTTAATTTTTAATTTTTTTTAAATATAATTTTTGTGAAACTTATTCTATTTTGAATTTATAAAATAAATAAATTAAAAGAAAATTTACTTTCAGTCATAAAATAATAATAATTTAATTTATATTCTTTTAAATAAAAATTATAAAATTATAATATAAAAATAATTTCAAATCTAATAATTTTATCACAAAGTTCTTTTAAAAATTTAGCTCTTATGAATATTTTACTATTTTAATTATATCTTCAATGTATTTCTAATAAAATAAATATTAGTATCATTTTAAATTGAATATTTTTTTAAAAAAATTACAATTGCTAGAAAGTGCTTGTAGCTTAAGAAAGAGAATATAAAATAGATTAGAGAACCATTATTTATTTTTTTAATAATATTATTATTTATTATAATTTTATTTATATATTTATTTTAAGTTCTTTCAATAAGCTTTTTATTTACTTAATATTTTATTCTATTTGTATTTAAAACTATTACTTATGTCATATCAAGTATAAAAAATTTATATAATAGATTTTAAAGAATATAAAATTTTTATTTTTATTTTTATTTTTATTTTTTTATTATTGAAAAATTTTGATTTTGCACATAAATATGTCAAAGATATGAATTAAAAAAAATAATAATAATAATAACCTCAATACATTTTTGTGTCACTCAAAAGACTGGGTAAATATATATATATATATATATATATATATATATATATATATACATATATATATAAAACTAAAATGACTATGTGGCGCACATGTAAGATACTTGTCTTGCATAATCAACTTATATTTTGTAAAGTTGTCAACATGCAAAATACTTGGCTAACTTGTTGGTTGAGTTTCTAACCTACTAATCAACTACAAACACGTATAAAGTCAATTTTTTTTCTATAAAGCTTTTAAGAAGCTTTTCTACAAGATATTATCAAATCTACTTATATTTATTTTTCATCTAACACTTCTTATCTAAGTAATGATATATGTCTATGACGAAATAGATTTTTTTAAAAAAATATCTAAATTATATTAATAAGTGTACCTTTGAGTTTATATCAAAATATTTATAATATAAAGTATTTCACACTTATAAACAAAAGAACAATAGAAAATCAATTGACTTAGAGTAACTTGGATATTAATAAAAAAAATTATGAAATTAATATTATCTTTTTTAATAGTAATTTAATAAATATATTTTTAAAAATATGAATATATAAATATGAATATATAAATATGAATATATATATATGAATATATAAATATGAATATATATATATGAATATATATATATGAATATATATATATATATATATATATATATATATATATATATATATATATAATTTAATTCTACCATACTTATATAAGACTAAATTTCCCACTTAAAAAAAATAAAAATAAAAAAACTTCATGGTAGAAATTATTAATCTATATAATAACCTATATAATAACCTCTATAATTTGGATGCTTATCATATATACTTAGTTGTTTCACATAATATCTTATTTTTTTCTTTAATAAAATAATTATATATATATATATATAGTAATATTTGTTATTTTTTAATATATGGTCTTAACATGATGATATAACATGCTTAGTTTTATATTTATAATAATTTTAATATAAATAAATAGAAATACATTATTAGATTTATTTACTATTATTTCTTTTATCTTCACAAATAATTAATAATATTTTTGTATGATAATAAATTCAAACACTCTTGTGTGATTTTTTAGTATTTGACTTATTTTTTAGGTTTAAAATTATGACTATTTTTTATATAAAAAAAATTGATTAAGAAATAACAAACATATTAACTAAAAATACTATAGGCAACAATTAGTCTAGAAATCAAAATTATTTACAATGAGTAATGTAAAGTCTTTCAAAATATGTCGTTTATAAACAAATGGTTTTCAAATGCATGTAAGAATAGGGATTGTGATTGCATTACAACATTTGCAAGTTCTTCCATGCTCAATTGCATAATTTAGAATAAATAATATTAGCCAAAAGACTTGTTGTAAAATAACTACACACTAACACTATATATTTTTTGTAGTTTAATAAATCCTTATTTAAGAGAAAAATTTGTACATCAAGATTTTGTTACTTAAGGGCAAAACCAATCAAATTTGAAAGTGCTTGTATAAATGTGTACTTGTCATTTTTTCCATTGAAATAATTGTAGGTCCAAAATTTATTTTAATCCCAACTAATCTTTTTTGAAATAATTCCATATTTTATACATAGAGAGAATAGAACTGTAATTGTTGTCTTATTATTAACTATGTCACATAGTTAACATGTTTGAAAATTTGCTCTATTTGCAAATCCTTTCCACAAATACAACCTTGTAAGCACCATCATCAAGAACACAATCTTCAATTAAAATCTTGACTCAATGTTATCAAGCATTTCAAGTCTTAAACATCTCATCACAAACACACCTAATTATAAATCCAAAAGCCACCATGTAATCAGTTTTTGACACTTCAAATTTTATATTACATACTTGCAAAAAGGAAAAATAAATAAATAAATAACAAAAAAAATAACATGCAGCAAGTTTTCACAAAAAACACAAAATTCAAACACACATTTCGTCACACTTTAATTCTTATCCAGTAAGACAAAATCCGAAACGCTGCAATTCAGCACACTGCGGAAACCAGTAGAACATCAAAGGTTGAAACTATGTGCAAATCATCGGAGTAATAAAAATCTACAACGTAGCATAACCAAACACCTTGTGTGCACACACACACACAAACAGTCTGAGAGTGAAGAAGAAGAAACGAGCTCACTCTTGTTCATGAAGGTCGGCACAAATGAGAACGGATGCAAGTCGAAGGAAGGAATTGGGGGAATGCGAAGAAACGGGGAGATGGCGATGGCGGTGGCGAGAGCACGATGGGGGAAAGAATCTTGTGGCATCGCATCGCCAGGTGGGGACTTGGAAGCGGAGGCATGAGCACCAGCAGAGGAAGCGCCGCACGGCAGGTCGGCATCCATGGTGTCGACGCAGCGCAGCCCCCACGGCAGCCATCGCAGCCGGAGCTCCCGCACCAATCCGGCCGACGTGGGGACGCATCATCCGGCTCAACGAGATTCTCGACCGGGGGGTAGTCAAGGACTGATGCTTTGGGCAGGCCCTGGTGGCCTCGCCCTGGGTCCAATCGATAGATCGATCGACAGATGTTGGGTCCACAGTCCCGGCCAGGCGATTTGCCTGGGGAGTCCGCATTAAGATGTGCTTATTTCCTATGGCACCGCGATCGCCTCCTCACTTGTCCGTCTCGGGCAGGTGTTGGAGTTGGAACTGTCCCCCGATCGCCACCACGGGATGACTCCGGTACTTGCCTTCACAAGTGTTGGTCTCTCTCGGTTTCGTAGCCTCCTCCAGATCGATGTGTTGTTAACACTCACTGCCTTTTTGTTGCTGTTTGTTGCAACATCCGAATATCTCCTATATCTCCTGCTGTGACGAAAAAGATCGCTTTCTATTTGTATCTGGATAGTTATTTACATGTGTATGTGTGTGTGTAGATATATATTTGTATTTATATAAATGAATGAATGAGAGTGCAACATGTATTTAAGCTTTGAGGTCTGCCATTTCCAACCCGGATTTCTACAGATTCTGATTATTGAAAGTGTTTGTTTGTTTGTTTGTTTAGCAGTACCTTGACCAACTGTGTTGAATGCGTGTAAATATATACGAATATGTATGTTCATTTTTATAAGGGTTGCAATATTGAAGTAGGGATGATATATATATATATATATATATATATATTCAGACACACACAGACATATATATATATATATATATATATGATTTTATTTATTTTTTATTTTTTACTTTCAACAATTCTGAAATGTGATATTTTGTGACTTGTACATTGTAGAGTTTAGGATATTTGCAGGGTAAGAATGTGGCATAGAGTTTTTGAGGCATTCACTGTGCGGTTCAATATCAAAAAATAATTTTACAAGCACATGCAAAAAAGATTCAAACATCATAAATCATAAAAAGTAATTGAATATTGTGTGGACATGATATGTGGAGATAATTGCTTGTTGTATTGATGAATTTGATGCATTTAATTTTGGGTGATGAATGTCCTGGAATAGGTTAGCCGAGCTAAATTTAACGCACCATTCTGTTTTCTAAAACTTGTGTAGCAACCAAACCTACGTACTACACAACTTGACCGAAGAAAAGAGATGTTGAAAAACTCCCCCATTCGCTACCTAAAGTTTGATACTTTGCGTCGGTAATTGATTTCATTCTGACATGTTAAAACAAATGGAAAAAATAATTACAATAATGATAGTAATAATAATAATAATCTGAAAGTAAACTCAATTTTTTTATCAGAATGATAAAGGTAAAATCGATGAAGAAGACATCCACCAAAGCACATATTTCTTTTTCTTTTTCTGTTTTAAATGATATAAAAAAGGAGATTCGTCATGGACGACAAGTAAATCACATGAACAACGCAATGCCAACTATCATTTTACCCCTACAGCACCGCAGGATCTAGTCCCTCTCCTCACTAACCAGCCAACTTCTCTTCGAGGGCAATTTCAAATCAACCTACTCTAGACTCTGTACAGTGTTAAAATGTACCCATGTGCTAACCTGAAGTGAACTACGCAAAATTGATTCCAATTCAAAATCACCGTCTCGATCAAACCTCGTGGATTTCAATCCGCTTAGACTTTGTTGCATCCCCTCTTTGTTTGTTACCAGAGAGCTCATCCATCACTGAAAGCTAAGTCCATGAGTCAAGCAAAGAGGGATTTTCAATCATCTCCTTTCCTATCCATCTATACAAAAGAAGCTTCAACCCGTTTCTTGTTGCAGGATCGTCGATTTGGTGGCTTCTGGTGGGTTAAAATATCACTGATTCTCCTGAACAAAAATGCTCGGCAATCTTTACCGCCTGCTGCAAGATGGACTAATCTCTCAAAAGAGAAGTCTCCGTCTCCAACAATGGTGATGTTCAACCAGCTGCTTGTTCACTCCATCTGCTGAATATAATTCGCTTCAGGTTGAAAGAAGCGGACTGTTGGCAGCGCTTCCTGCGTCGCATGTCGATGGTATTGCTGGAACGAGCTGTTGTGAGCGTTGGGTGAGACTGAAGCCGCCGCTGTGCAATTTCCGGAGCGAGGCATGATTAAGGGAGATGGAGCTGGTAACCCAACCACAGCATGGTTTCTCATCTGCTCAGCTGAGGTAGGGAACAGCTGCGATGTATGCAACTGCGGACCGCTTCGCATGCGTGGGGAGCTAGATTCCTGATGCGCTTGCTGCAAACTGGGAGTAGTCCTATGTTGATGGTGAGAAGCGTCGCGTTTCTGACTTTTCGACGGAACCCATCCAGTTCCAACCGATTCAGGGGAGCCCAAATTTTTATCACCAGTACTCGTGACAGTAGATGTGGTGCTCGTCCTCGAGTTGGAGCGAGTGTACGCAACAGTTGAAGCCAATGTCATTTTCAAGAGCATTTTCACACCCATCTCATTTAAAGTCCAAGTGGTGTTCGTCACATTAGCATGAGAATCAAATTCATCCTGCAGACCCTGGCCTGTTTGAAGACCAAATCTTTCCTGAGAAATATCGGTGCCTTCCTTCTTAGTTCTATCATAAAGCGACTTTCCCGCAGTTTCCACAGCTTCAACAACTTTCCGGAATGCGTTGACGCTTGCGACAGCCACACCATAGATCGGACTGCTGGACTTAGAGTTCATATCCGATCCAAGAATCTTCGACACATGTTCCGTCGCACTGATCGCCCCCTTAAGAAGCGTCATGGACATTAGCTTCGCCACAGCTGACATGCGGCGTGCTTCTTGCATGCGTCCCATCATGCAAGAGCTCACTCTTCCGTTACCATCATCAGTAGGCGAGTCTGGACTCTTTCTTTTCATGAATGAGGCGCCATGCTGGACCCCTACCGCCGCACGATCTGAATTCATCCCGATGTTTTTCTCCGTTGCAATGGAAGTTCTATAAATTTTAGACACTACTTTAGAACTTATCATCTCCACTTCCGGCGCAACCGCTATCCAAAACCCAAGATTGTCGCTAACACCGGTCTCTACCAGCAGATGTTGATCTGTTACATACACATCAAATCCTTGACCGTCAATTTTATACACACGATCTTCAACGTTGTGAACGCAGAATCACTCAGAACACCAATAATTATCGACAGCAAAGCCTGAAGATACCTACATCCTTAAACTCAAGAATCTGGTGAGAGTAGTACCTAAGTTAGCCGTCACATGATGCGTCCGAAGTATGCTGTACTTGGCTAGGATGGATTCCAGTTGCTGCAGAACGCCCATGGGTGTAAAACCAGGGAGGACCATTCCATACAGCAGCTTAGGGAGTGCAAACGCATACCGTCGATCCCACACCTTCATCACGGGTCCGTCTTTTCCCAACGGCCACTGGATTTCCCCAACACTTGCTACCACAGCAGCCAGCGGTGAGTGCGCTTGCTTCAGCAGTTTCAATGAAAAAGTGCCGATCTGCATGAGCACGCTCTCTTTCCCACTGACGAGGTACAGTTGAGCCTCTCCAATGCTAATTAACTCCATCTGACTTCCCATTCAGTATACCCCACTGTCAAGGCTAGAACCAGAAGGTTATTCGGACATACGAACCAGTTGAAATATCCCAAAAGTTTCTAAACTTGAGGGCAGAGGTCACCAAGACCTGCTGAGTATCACTCTTTTTCTAACCTGCACAAACAAGCAGCATATTTAAAGACTGTCCAAGTCACGATTTCATCAGAACCTTGAGGCCTCCTCTTTTCAACAGCTCTTCCATTAAATTCTCAGAACTTCTTCAATCCTACCACTCAGCGACTCCCTTTGAGAATATCAGCAAAGACAGCATCGTTCACACATGAACTCTCCTTCACTCAGATCTTTAAACTAGTCAGCAGGTGCACACACACAGAAATCCCGAAACTAGAATAAGCTGTTCATCTTCCAGACCTGAACTCCAGTCACAACCGACCTCTGAACAGAGCAGAGTGAGAGGACACAGAGAATATCACGTTCTCAAGAAATTACAACCTCCAGTCTGATCATTCATCAATAGAAACCGTGACGAATTGTACTCTGAACCACACCGTCCTAACTACCATTCTTCACTAACCAGTAACTTCTGCGAGCTCCAAAATGAAGCAGTATTTCACATTCTGAGCGCATCAAAGCCCTGTTTGAATTAGTACAGTGCCTCAATGAAAGATCGACTCATCCCCGCTAACCCAGACTCTTTTTCAAACACATGTGAGTTCTACACAACTCCATCACTCCCAACCATGCATGCAAAATCAGGCACCACCCAACAAGAACCTGAACTCAACCCACACTCATCCACGGAATCGACATTTCGAGTTGCTACACGCCGATCCACAAACTAACCGACAGAACAGGACGTGGAGACCACTACTACTGCATTCACCGCTGCACCATGAAACCGACCAGGGAAACCAGGACACGTCCCAAGAGTGCAGACTTCCGACTCGCAACCCACACTCCTATCTCACGAACTAAAGTCCTACCGCTAAACACCCCGCCCACAACAATCTAGCGCAAGGAAAAAAAAACAAAAAAAAAAAAAAAAAAAAAAAAAACACCAGGGATTGAACACACCACCGTAAAATGAAGGAATGCGGGGTGGACTCAATTGGTAGAGGGCTATCCCGCCCCGCGAGACGATCAGCGAAGAACACGGATGCAACGGGAGCGACAAACGATGCGAATAGGGAGGGGGAGGTATTCCCCCTTTCTAATGTACACCTCCTCCTGTTGCCGATGCCTGGTTGCGGCCTTTGGCGAACACGTTGATATGGCGTTGCCAGCGCATCCTCCCCGCCCACTGCCTGATGGCGCGTCGCCGCCATTGCCCCGCCTCATTGCCGGCCCTTCCTGCCCCACGGTGTCCAGCTCCCCTCCCCCCACCTCCTGGTCGCGGCCATGGGCCCCGCGCTTTCCTCCACTTCCACCGTGCTTTCACTTTTTCGGTTGCAAAGGTGGTGTCACTTTTCGGATTATCTTGCCTTTTTGTGGGATACCACTACAGATTTTTTTGCTCTGTTGTGTTGCGCTGTTGAGTCGTAGTTTGGCTCTGTCATTCTGTTCGGCTAACAACACTGGACCATGTTATTTAATATAATAAAATAAAAATTTGTTTTTTTAAGTGTGAATTGGTTTTGAAATGCATAATCCTTCAATTCCTTTTCTTTTCAGTAAATTTTTACTATTAGATATTTGAAAAGATAGATAACATGTATTATTAGACAGTAGATATTAAATTTTATTATATATTTAGAAATATTTACATTTATATTTATAAATGTAAATTTAAATTTAAATTATATATATATATATATATATATCAATATCAATATTCTTAATATTATATATTGTTAGATATTTATAAATCCGTTTATAAATATGGAAGAAAGTTATGGATTCCGTTGTATAAAAAAATCACATCATGGCAATTATAAAAAATATTAAAAAAAAAAAAAAAAAAAAAAAAAAAAACGCTATTATTTTGCCCAACTTCAAAATGACACCTGACTCTTGATCAATGCCTTGTATACACCCTACAAATTTGGTCTTTTTTCCACAAAGAAAAACACAGCAATTAAAGAACCTAGAAGTTTAAAGTGATCTTTTATTATTTTACCCTAGTAATCGTTGTTATGAAATAATAGATTGAGTAGATTTGTGCATAATATGTGAAAAAATTGTCCTTTTTTTGGTTTGAAAAATATACAAACAAGCGCTATGTTGCTAGGAGATGGAAATTAGATATTATTTGCAATATAATTTTTGCCACATCAATATTTATTTATTTAGTTATTGCACTCAGAATTCCCGTTAGATTTTTAAATTTTAAGAAAACTGTAACAATTCAATTGGAGAGATTTAATTTATAGGTTTTCAAGTAAGATAAGTATGTTAATAAAAATATTAATTACAAAACCTACAACAAGTTATGTATTTAATATTTATGATTCTATTACTCAATAAGATGAACGGATGATCAGTTATAAGAATAAAAAAAATAAGGAATTCTATAGATTTTGTAAATGAAATTTGTAAAAGATGAAAACTATGAAGTTCGAAAATAAAGCAAATCATAGATTAAAATTCTGAAAATTGGATTCAATGAATCAAAGATAAAGATTTTAGCATCAGTATTTTGGCACAAGTTTATTCTACAAATTGCAGTATACAGTATATATCCCTCAGCAATATGAATTATTATTTCACACAGGACATGAATGTACCAATCTTTGCAAACTTCATAAAACATCCTTTTGCAATTAAAATATTTAAACAAATTCTTTCTAATTGAGAACTACTATATTATTTTGAATGAAATTAACAGAGAAATTATATGTAACTTTCAACCAAAATTCGATTTTTTATATAGATAAATTAAGTAAACATCAAACTTTTTAAAATAACAATAGCATCACTATATGGTGTTGGTCAGCAGCATCTTTTTTGAAACACACTGCCTGTAATAATATTTAAAGTTGTTTTTATTAGCAATCTCTTATGTGATTTACAAAGCAATTTTGACCCATATTAATTTTTTAAATGACTTACGAAACACAAAAAACCTTTCAACATTTCATGTGGTCAGCGTTAACATAATATTTTTTTCTTCTTCAGAAACTCGACCTCCTCCAAATATGACATGAAATCATTGCATTGGTTTCAATGCCTAAATTCTTATATGTCCATAAAATCTATGAAATCATTTTCTTCAAAAATACCACATCAAGTAATATTATTATTTTTATGTATACATATTATTTTTATACTTAACTTATATTTTATATTTAGTAGAAGCAGAATGTATCATGTGGCCTGTCATGTTGCACTTGGTCTATTGACAGGATATATTGGAACACAGTGTCAACAAAAGTAGTATGTAAGTTCTCGAGAACATTCACAACACATATTGCTGTAGAAAATATATATTGAAACAGTGACAATGATTGAAGTCATATGAGGATCTCCAATTAGGCAAATGCTGTTGCCATGTTCAATGGTGCAACCCATTCTTAGTTATTGTTTATCAGTAGGCACAAGAAAGATGATTCTGAAAAGCACAAAAGAAAATGCCCATCACTAAATATCAAGGATAAAATAGGACACAATCTCAGACCATTCACTTCGTTGGGTTATATTTGGTTATTATTCAAAAGTGGAAAAGCATTCTACAATCGCCAGAGTTTGCTTAGGATTTTCTAACCATGACCTTTTAAAGTAGTCAGTGCCCAATATAGAAATTTTCAACTTCAATGCAAACATGTCAAAGCGAAGAATGAAAGCAATATATAAAAATATATCCAGTTTTTTTTGAGTTTCGATTGGAGGTGTGAACGAGGACATTTGTGGTCCACATCTATGGGATTCCATCCATCCTCATCCAATGATGAAAAACGACTACCCCTAATTCCACGTCCAATAATATCATACCCCCCCCAAATAAATAAATAAATAAATAAATAAAAACTCAACACGATTGTCAAGAGAGTTGCAACAAAAAGATGCTCCACTTGTCATTTGTAGATTTTGTAGGGATAAGGAATGTGCCGTGTCGCCATTTGACATGGGGAGTATGTAACAAATATATCTGTGTGTATATGTGTGAATGAAAAATCATTGTGTTAAAAATTAAATATTATTAAATGAAAAAAAAATATTTGATTTGAAAAATAAATAAATAAATTTGGTCATTAAAATAAATATAAGATCATAAGTTTAACATGTATTTTTAACATTTTTTTTATTTTTTGAAAAGTTGCAAAGCTAAGGCTTCAAGGTCTTTAAAAAACTGGTATTGAAGTAACATATATCAAAAGATTTACATGTTCAGAAAGATATTAATTTACTTATTATAAAAGGAAAAAAAATATATTGTTTGTATAATACAACTTATATAAACATAATATTTTATTTGTAATCTGTACTAGCTTTTATATGTATAGCAGTTTATAAATTGCAAAAATAGGTTCTAGGTTGTAGATTTTTTTAGATTCAAATAAAAACTTAATACAAATATTAATGAAAAAAGTATCAATTACAGTCATAGAATCTTGTATAAAATCATATTTGAAAAACTTATTTCATTTAATATATATATATATATATATATATATATATATAGAAATCCATTAATATATTAAATCTTCTAATATTTTTGGGTTTTGTGTGTGTATCTGTTTGTTTTTGTTTTTTTTTTTTTTTTTTTGTTTTGTTTTGTTTTGTTTTTTTTTTTTTTTTTGGATGCATAGAAAAAAATTAAGTTTAATATATATGATTATTCTTACATTTTTTTCAGAATAGTATTCACTTATTCAAATTAGATAAGATACTATGAACACATATAAGTCTTTATTGTCATGGACGCATTTTTTAAAAAAATTAGAAGAAATATTTTTAGAGATATGTGCTAATTATATAATATAGTGAAATTTAGTTTCTTACTTTTGGTAATTTCGCACTCTCTCTCATCAAGAATTGCCAAGATTCTAGACACTTGGTACACAAGTGTTGCCAAAAGATGTCTTCAATGTTAGTAAGTAAAAAATCGAAATGTACTTCTTTTTGTTTATATCTATATAATTGTCCTACCAATAATCCATCTATTCAAAATCAATAACCTTCAATAATTAATCGAAATTTGAGAACCAACTATACTTATCTACTGTTGTTTATTGTTATGATACTTAATATATATTTGTGCAATAGATGATATTAACTCTTATATATATATATATATATATATATATACTTAAAGTTTAGCTATTCTTTAAAGTTTAATATAGATATTTTAATTTAAAATTCTAAATCCTATCATAATATCTATTTTATACATCAAAGGTCTAAATAGATTTATTATACAGACAAATAATGGACTAAAACTTTAATTTATGCTTAATAATTAAATTCTTTTCAAAATTAAATTTTGTAGGAACTTTGGATTCTATATTTATGAGTCTAAATTCTTTCTCCTCCCCTCCTTTTTTTTTAAGGACTTAATACAATTGGATGTAAGGCTTTAATCACATGTTTAGAAAGTACAGTTTTTTAAAATTATTTGAGATAAACTACTCGAATGCCACCTTCATTGATTGGCTTACATTTTATTTTCTAAATTTTTTCAATACAAGTCATGAATTGAGTATTATTATATAGAAAAATGATTTATCAATTTTTATTTTATTAGTTAATTAATTTTATATTAAAATAAAAATTTAGATCAAAGAAAGTAAGAATGTTATATATATATATATATATATATATATATTTATTTATTTATTTATTGAAATATAGAAGATTTTAAATTCTAAGCAAGGACTAGTAAGTTATTTGGAATAAAAGAAACATAATAAATAAGAGTCATTAATAAACTTATTTGTGGCAAAAGAATATTTTTGTTTAATGAGTGCTCAAAGTTTGAAGTTATTCCTAGCTCTAAAGTTAGTTACCATGTGATTATTATTGTCTTGCTTTTGAACTTCAATTTTTTCTATCATGCCTTAAATATCTTGTTATTTCTTTTAGCTATTTCCAAATC